TGATAGTGTGGCTGATGTTATTAGGCCCTGTGATGGTGTCCCCTGAATAGATATGTGGGCACAATTGGCAACGGGCTTTGTTGCAAGGATAAGTTCCTGGGTTAGCGGTTCTGTTGTGTGGTATGTGGTTGTTGGTGAGTATTTGCTTCAGGTTGCGGGGCTGTCTGTAGGCAAGGACTGGCCTGTCTCCCAAGACTTGTGAGAGTGTTGGGTCATCCTTTAGGATAGGTTGTAGATCCTTAATAATGCGTTGGAGGGGTTTTAGTTGGGGGCTGAAGGTGACCGCTAGTGGCGTTCTGTTATTTTCTTTGTTAGGCCTGTCCTGTAGTAGGTAACTTCTGGGAACTCTTCTGGTTCTATCAATCTGTTTCTTTACTTCTGCAGGTGGGTATTGTAGTTGTAAGAAAGCTTGACAGAGATCTTGTAGGTGTTTGTCTCTGTCTGAGGGGTTGGAGCAAATGCGGTTGTATCGCAAAGCTTGGCTGTAGACGATGGATCGTGTGGTGTGGTCAGGGTGAAAGCTGGAGGCATGCAGGTAGGAATAGCGGTCAGTAGGTTTCCGGTATAGGGTGGTGTTTATGTGGCCATTGTTTATTAGCACTGTAGTGTCCAGGAAGTGGATCTCTTGTGTGGACTGGACCAGGCTGAGGTTGGTGGTGGGATGGAAATTGTTGAAATCATGGTGGAATTCCTCAAGGGCTTCTTTTCCATGGGTCCAGATGATGAAGATGTCATCAATATAGCGCAAGTAGAGTAGGGGCTTTAGGGGACGAGAGCTGAGGAAGCGTTGTTCTAAATCAGCCATAAAAATGTTGGCATACTGTGGGGCCATGCGGGTACCCATAGCAGTGCCGCTGATCTGAAGGTATACATTGTCCCCAAATGTGAAATAGTTATGGGTAAGGACAAAGTCAAATCCGCACAGACACACCCCTGGAACCCCGACCTGGGATATTCTATCTACTACCCAAGATCCATAAACCTGGAAATCCTGGGCGCCCCATCATCTCAGGCATTGGCACCCTGACAGCAGGATTGTCTGGCTATGTAGACTCCCTCCTCAGGCCCTACGCTACCAGCACTCCCAGCTACCTTCGAGACACCACTGACTTCCTGAGGAAACTTCAATCCATCGGTGATCTTCCTGATAACACCATCCTGGCCACTATGGATGTAGAAGCCCTCTACACCAACATTCCACACAAAGATGGACTACAAGCCGTCAAGAACACTATCCCCGATAATGTCACGGCTAACCTGGTGGCTGAACTTTGTGACTTTGTCCTTACCCATAACTATTTCACATTTGGGGACAATGTATACCTTCAGATCAGCGGCACTGCTATGGGTACCTGCATGGCCCCACAGATATGGCTGATTTAGAACAACGCTTCCTCAGCTCTCGCCCTCAAAGCCCCTCCTCTACTTGCGCTATATTGATGACATCTTCATCATCTGGACCCATGGAAAAGAAGCCCTTGAGGAATTCCACCATGATTTCAACAATTTCCATCCCACCACCAACCTCAGCCTGGTCCAGTCCACACAGAGATCCACTTCCTGGACACTACAGTGCTAATAAACAATGGCCACATAAACACCACCCTATACCGGAAACCTACTGACCGTATTCCTACCTGCATGCCTCCAGCTTTCACCCTGACCACACCACACGATCCATCGTCTACAGCCAAGCTTTGCGATACAACCGCATTTGCTCCAACCCCTCAGACAGAGACAAACACCTACAAGATCTCTGTCAAGCTTTCTTACAACTACAATACCCACCTGCAGAAGTAAAGAAACAGATTGATAGAGCCAGAAGAGTTCCCAGAAGTTACCTACTACAGGACAGGCCTAACAAAGAAAATAACAGAACGCCACTAGCGGTCACCTTCAGCCCCCAACTAAAACCCCTCCAACGCATTATTAAGGATCTACAACCTATCCTAAAGGATGACCCAACACTCTCACAAGTCTTGGGAGACAGGCCAGTCCTTGCCTACAGACAGCCCCGCAACCTGAAGCAAATACTCACCAACAACCACATACCACACAACAGAACCGCTAACCCAGGAACTTATCCTTGCAACAAAGCCCGTTGCCAATTGTGCCCGCATATCTATTCAGGGGACACCATCACAGGGCCTAATAACATCAGCCACACTATCAGAGGCTCGTTCACCTGCACATCCACCAATGTGATATATGCCATCATGTGCCAGCAATGCCCCTCTGCCATGTACATTGGTCAAACTGGACAGTCTCTACGTAAAAGAATAAATGGACACAAATCAGATGTCAAGAATTATAACATTCATAAACCAGTCGGAGAACACTTCAATCTCTCTGGTCACGCAATCACAGACATGAAGGTCGCTATCTTAAAACAAAAAAACTTCAAATCCAGACTCCAGCGAGAAACTGCTGAATTGGAATTCATTTGCAAATTGGATACTATTAATTTAGGCTTAAATAGAGACTGGGAGTGGCTAAGTCATTATGCAAGGTAGCCTGTTTTCTCTTGTTTTTTCCTACCCCCCCCCCCCCCAGATGTTCTGGTTTAACTTGGATTTAAACTTGGAGAGTGGTCAGTTTAGATGAGCTATTACCAGCAGGAGAGTGAGTTTGTGTGTGTATGGGGGTCGGGGGGATGTGAGAAAACCTGGATCTATGCAGGAAATAGCCCAACTTGACTATGTAAAGAGTTGTCACTTTGGATGGGCTAGCACCAGCAGGAGAGTGAATTTGTGTGGGGGGGTGGAGGGTGAGAAAACCTGGGTTTGTGCTGGAAATGGCCCACCTGTTGATCACTTTAGATAAGCTATTACCAGCAGGACAGTGGGGTGGGAGGAGGTATTGTTTCATATTCTCTGTGTGTATATAAAGTCTGCTGCAGTTTCCACGGTAAACATCTGATGAAGTGAGCTGTAGCTCACGAAAGCTCATGCTCAAATAAATTGGTTAGTCTCTAAGGTGCCACAAGTACTCCTTTTCTTTTTATAAACAAGAATATTTGTCTATTAACACATGCAAGAAATTTCACCAAAGGTTTAAAAGGAAATGGGGAAAGCCATCCCACACTTGAAACGATACTTCTCTACTCCAGTTCTAGTAAGGAGCTATCTGAATTCAATTAGAATTCATGACTTCACTAACCCTATATTCCTCATTAAGGGCCAAAAGCCGTGTTTACAAATGGGTCTTTCCCCTCCCACGTGTTGTTGACACATCTCCGTTCCTCACATTGAGGGTCACACGGATCCATCAAGAGAGCTTACATCTCATCAACAGCTTCAGTCTCTCCGTCCCAAAAGACGGTTTTCTAAATCGCTTTGTGGGAATGCATCTCAGGTAACAGAACAGAGACACCAGAAAGAATCCAGTCTCTTCGGTAACTTTCTCACTTCTGAGGGCCAAGCCATTACCAGATCACTGTTGTAAATCCAGGAACGTTTCCACAAATTCTCTGCAGGCTTATAGGTACCACACTTTTACCCCACTGTATTCACCATGAATCTTCAACGGGTTACAACCAGTGGTGACCCATCTACTTAGGACTAGCTCCTGATCCACATGGGGGAACAGAATTCCCAGCAGCTTACAACAGAATATGAGGAAGAGACTGCGGTCACCCTCATGTGAGCCCTTAAATCAAAACAGCCTAGTGTTCGAGAGGGACGGGTCAGCACATTCGTGGCCGCAGACTAAGAGAAGTCCTCTATCTGCAGAACAGTGCAATGACCCTGCTGTTCTCACCCAGCTGCTGCACCTGAGTGCTCTTGGATTTGCTCCAGGAATGGGCGGGCAATTCAGGCACCCCAGCCCATTGAGCCCATGGCCTGTGCTGAAATGGCCAGCAAGGCTGGCATGTCCGATAGGGGGCCAGAACATAGACACTAGCCCATTTGAAAACTGCACACGGGAGCTTATCCCAGCATCGTGGTCTAACTCATCTCAGATAGCGGCAGGCAGTGCTCCGGCTGGGCTGGTGGCTGTAAGAACTTTAACAGGGCCGGGGGAGCGGGATCCCCCCCCACCCAGGAGCCTTGGACAACTCTGTTCTAAGGGGGCGAGAGCGTCCCTCACCCATCCCACTGACCAGACAGCCCCATGGGCCGCAGCAGGAGGCTAAGCCCTGCAGACAGCAGGCCTGGGCTTGCAGTGGATCCTCTGCCCCAGAGATGCACTGGGCGGGGGGCAGGCTCCGCTGCCCAAGAGGCCACACAGATACCCGCCAGTGTGTGGGGACCAGGCCCTGCCAGGGCAGCGCTGCCCAGGGACCCCACACTGTGCCCCACAGCCTGCTGGGCACCCACTGCGCCCGCCACACAGGCTGGGGAGCCCTGTGCGCACACTCACAGCCCCCCTGGACACCCACTACGCCCCCCATACGCGCACCCACACCGTGCCCTCCCCACAGGCTGGGGAGCCCTGTGCGCACACTCACAGCCCCCTGGCCCGCCCACACCCCCACACTGCACCCCCCGTGCATCCACTGCAGCCCCCCCCCACGCAAACATACTGCCCCCCCCGCGCACACTGAGCCCCCCGGACAACACACACACTGCCCCCCCCGCAACACACACACACACACTGCCCCCCCGCAACACACACACACACACACACTGCACCCCCCGTGCATCCACTGCAGCCCCCCCCCCACGCAAACATACTGCCCCCCCGCACACACTGAGCCCCCCGGACAACACACACACTGCCCCCCCCGCAACACACACACACACACAAACACACTGCCCCCCCCGCAACACACACACAAACACACTGCACCCCCCGTGCATCCACTGCAGCCCCCCCCCACTCAAACATACTGCCCCCCCCCCCCCCCGCGCACACTGAGCCCCCCGGACAACACACACACTCACACCGCCCCACGCCCCCAGCGCGCACACACACACTGCCCCCCCGCAACACACACACACACTTGCCCCCCGCAACACACACACACACACACACACGTCCCCCGCCCCGGGACTCACCCAGCGCCGCGAGGAGCAGCAGCAGCAGCAGGTCCCGGCCCATGGCAGCCGCGCGGTGCCGGGATCCCCCTGCCCCGCCGCCGCCAGACCCGAGCCGCCGCCGCCGCTCCAGAGTCCGCTCCAGGGCGGGACGGTGCCGGGCGGCTCCGCCTCCTGGTCCGGCCCCGCGGCTGCGGCCGAGCGCCCTCCGGGGGCGGGGCTGTGCGGGTTAAGGGGCTGGGCGGGGTAGGGGGCTTCGGGAGCGGGGCTGTGCGGGGCGAGGGGTTGTGCGGGTTAAGGGGCTGTGCGGGGCCGGGGGGCTGTGCGGCGCAGGAGCTCTGGGAGCGGGGCTGTGCGGGGCCGGGGGTTGTGGGGGTCGGGGGTGAAGGGGCTGTGCGGGGCAGGGGGCTCCAGGAGCGGGGCTGTGCGGGGCGGGGGGCTGTGGGGGGGGGGGGGGCTCCGGGAGGGGGTGGGGGGGGGGGGGGGGGTGGAGGGGGCTGGGCGGGTTAAGGGGCTGTGCGGGGCAGGGAGCTCTGGGAGCGGGGCTGTGGGGCGGGGGTTGTGCGGGTTAAGGGGGTGCGGGGAGGAGCTCTGGGAGGGGGCTGTGGGGCGGGGGGTTGTGGGGTTAAGGGGCTGGGGGGCAGGGGGCTCCAGGAGCGGGGCGGGGGGAGGAGCTCTGGGAGCGGGGTTGTGGGGGAGGGTTGTGGGGGTGGGGGGGGCTGTGCGGGGCAGGAGCTCTGGGAGCGGGGCTGTGGGGGCGGGGGGTTGTGCGGGTTAAGGGGCTGTGCGGGGCAGGGGGCTCCGGGAGCGGGGGGCGGGGCAGGGGGCTGGGTGGGGGGGGGGGGGGGGGGGGGCGGGTTAAGGGGCTGTGCGGGGCAGGGGGCCTCAGGAGCGGGGCTGTACGGGGCAGGATCTCCGGGAGCGGGGCTGTGCAGGGCGGGGGCTGTGCGGGTGGGGCTGTGCGGGGCCGGGGGTTGTGGGGGTCGGGGGGCTGTGCGGGGCAGGGGCTCCGGTCGGGGGGCTGTGCGGGGTAGGGGCTCCGGGAGCGGGGCTGTGCGGGACAGGAGCTCCGGTCGGGGGGCTCTGTGGGGCAGGGGGCTCTGGGAGCGGGGCTGTGCGGGGCGGGGGGTTGTGCGGGTTAAGGGGCTGTGCGGGGCAGGGGGCTCCAGGAGCGGGGCTGTACGGGGCAGGATCTCCGGGAGCGGGGCTGTGCAGGGCCGGGGGCTGTGCGGGTTAAGGGACTGTGCGGGGCCGGGGGTTGTGGGGGTCGGGGGGCTGTGCGGGGTAGGGGCTCCGGGAGCGGGGCTGTGCGGGGCAGGAGCTCCGGTCGGGGGGCTCTGTGGGGCAGGGGGCTCTGGGAGCGGGGCCGTGCAGGGCAGGGGGCTCCGGACAGGGACTCTGGGCATGGGACTGTGTGAGCAGGGGCTGCTGGGCACCCCTGTGCAGGGCACTGGGTTCCAGGCACAGGGCTTTGCGGGGCAGGGGCTTCTGGGCTTCCTGGTGCCCAGCCACTGCCAGGTGGAATCGGTACCTGCAGGGTAGCTGGGGGGAACCTGGTGCCCAGAACCTGGGACAGCCATGGGATGTGGGGGAGGGCAGAGCCTGCCCCAGACTATTGCATCATCCAGCCCCAGCAACACTTCAGGGATGGTAAATCCCGTGGATCTAGGGAACAGACTTTATTCCCAGCTCTCGGCTGTGCCCACTTGAGTGAGGGGAAGATTGATACGCTCCCTTCCTTGTGGGGAAAGCTGACGGTAAATATGTCCGTGCCCAGCCACGCCCTCCAGCTCCAATGTGCGCTGCTGCCCTATCCCATTCCTGGGCGCCAGCAGTGAAAACATGACGAGCCATCCTAGCAGTGTGAGTCCTTGAACTGTGGCCACCAGAACTGGATACAGAATTCCAGTAGCGGTTGCACCAGTTCCAAATTAAGAGGTATAATAACCTCTCTGCTCCTACTTGAGATTCCCCTGTTCATGGGGAATCACATTAGCTCTTTTGGCCAAGGCATTTCATGGGGAGCTCATGCACAGGTGATGAAATCCACAGCACCGAAATCTGTTTCAGAGTCCCTGCTCCCCAGGATAGAGTCCCCCATCCTGGAAGTGTGGTGCATTTACAGTTAGCCATATTAAAACACATATTGTTTGCTGGTATCCTGTTTGCCAAGTGATTGGTGTCAATGACCTGTCTTCTTCATTATTTACCCACCCCTCCAATGTCTGTGTCATTTGCACAGTGTCATTGTGATGATTTTATGTTAATATAAATGTTAAATAGTGCAGGGCCAAGGACTCGTTCCTGTGGGATCCCTCTAGAAACATACCTGCCCATTTACAAGTACATTTTGAGACCTATTAGTTAGCCAGTTTTTAATCCTTTTAATGTATGCTATGGCAATTTTATATCTTCCTAGTTCTTTATAAAAATGTCATGCGGTACCAAGTCAAATGCCTTACAGAAATTTATTAAATCAACACTATTCCCTTTACTAAACTTGTAATCTCATAAAAAAAATACCAAGTTAGTTTGACAGGACCTGTTTTCCTTAGACCCATGTGATTGGCATTAAATATATTACTGTCATTTAATTTTGGGTTAATTGAGTCCCATATTAGCCATTCCATTACCTTGCCCGTGATCAATGTCAGACTGATAGGCCTATAATGACTTGTGTCATGTGTCTACCCTTTTCAAATATTGGCACAACATTAGCTTTCTTCCAGTCATTTGGAACTTCTCCAATGTTCAGAAACTTACTGAAAATCAACTACTGAAAATCAGCATTAATGGTCCAGTGAACTCCTCAGCCAGCTCTTTCAAAACTCTTGGATTCATAGTTTCCTAGTGGTTTACCAATATTTTGAAGAAGAAACAAGTCACTGAAAGAGATTATTAATTATATTGAAGCAATCAAGGATCAGGGCACTTTTGAGCTAGGCAGGTAAGAGTCATACAGTAAGGCCTTGTCTACACTACAGGGAAAAGTCGATCTAAGCTACGCAATTTGTGTTACATGAATAGCATAACTCAAGTAGATGTAGCTTAGATCTACTTACCGCAGGGTCCACACTACGCGATATCGATGGGAGATGCTTTCCCATCGACTCCCCTTGCACTTCTCGATCCAGTGGAGTACAAGAGTTGACAGGAGAGCGATCTGTGGTCGATTTAGCGGGTCTAGTCAAGACCCTCTAAATCGACCGCCAATACATCGATCACCACATCGAACCCCCGGTAGGTGTAGACAAGCCCTAAAAATCCAGTCCAATTGTCTTGTATGACCATTTATAAAGGTGCTTATAAAAACAGTAAATTACCTAATTCACTACCAAGGCAAGAACTATATGTAATCAAGTCTGAAATGTTTTCCAAGTGGAAAGTTTAAAAAATAACCAGGAGAAAATTCAAAAGTTCAATAAAAAAGTGAACAAATCAATTCCAGACGTCTTTGCTTTTGGGAACAGCTTGTTCAGTGGAGTTTCTGATCCATTAGTGGCAGAGATCCAATTTCAGTCTCTCTCGCTTGTAGTCCAGTTCAACCTCTAGCATCTTGAAATAATCAACAGCTAAGAAAGGGCACGTGTCCCCCCACAGCCCAGAATAAAGAAAATGAGAAAAATGTAACACAACTGTTGCAAGAAAGCTGATAATCTTTTATCTACTCCATGGGACCAGCTTCCCTTCCTGCATCCCCACAGCACTCCAGCTTCCCAGAGATTTTGGGGGTGTTTCTCCCACTGTATCTCAACCCACTGAATAACCAAGACAGAGAGCCCCGCTCCCTCCAGTCATCTTAGGGCTGCTACTGAAACTACTATTGGAAGCCTGTGGTCTTCAGTTCGGCTTTACTGCAGGGGTGCAGCTTCTGCTCACTTCACTTTCTGCTGCTGCTGTTGTATGAGTTCTAATTTGTCTTAGGAGAGAGGCAGGGCCAATTTCTGTCAAAGGGAAGAAAATTCACTGGGCGCTTAAAGGCGGCCTTGATAACTATTGGTTTTAAGTTGGCGAATTTGGGTCATTTACCCAAATAGGTTGAATTTTAATCTCACCCACACTGGTGTAACTGTGGCCTCTGAAATTTGTCACTGACTGCACTGGAGTCACTCTGGATTTATGTGGATGTAAATGGAGAGCAGAATCTGCCACGCTGACCTTCACTGTCTATACAGTGAATTTGAGGGGCCCAGCTACACTTTTCAGTCTTGCAGTTCCCATAGTCGCTGTTGCTGTCCTGGGCATTTCCTGTGCATGTCTGGAATATTTGTGCTAACCAGCCACCGGCCGTTGCCACAGGAAACATGAAAAGATCTCTCACTTCACCAGCCAAAGGAAGCAGAGATGTAAAATTACGGCCTCTCTCCCACATCCCAAACAACCACCCCTATGTAACATTACACATAAATATGCTCATGCACATGCTGCTTTTATCCTCATCTTTTGCGCTGCCGTCATGATTTTCTCATCTCAGCATTATTTATTTATGAGGTGCATATGTGTGCGTGGCAATTTAAAAATGAAAGACATGCTCATTATAGATGGGGCTGATCCCATCACCTACAGTTAAGGATGCCTGACGCTTCCCATTGTAGGGCCCTATTTCAGTTGCCAGGGCTCAAATTTTCCATCCTGGGTGTCTGCTTCAGGCTGATTAAAATAAAGCAACCCATACATTTCAGGCAAAATGGGTTAGGTGTCTCCAGGAGGGAATTCGGGGGAAAATACATTATGTTACCCATGTTAAAAAATGCTGGCACCCCCAATCTTTGGAGCAGGATCTGGACATGTTGCAAAGGGCTAGCCTCTGTATCGGGGATGTTTGTTTTGCTGTCCCCAGAAAATCTGACCAAATTTGGCCAGGTTATAAGCCTCTAAGAAAAAAAAATCACAGTTTGCACATACTTGGGAGAGATTTACTAGAGCTTCACAGCTTAATTCCATCAACATTGAGCATGCTCCATGCAGGACTTTCCCTGCGTTTGCAGTTCTAGGCTGCTCCAGGACAGGGTGGGGCATATGTGGAACTGACAGCCGGGAGCCTGTTTCTCCTGTACTCTCAGTGACCTCTCCCACCACAGGACTGAAGCAAAGTGGAGGAGGAAGCCATCTGACCTGAATGCAGAGGAGGAAAGAACAAGACCTGG